AAAAAAAAATCGATTGAGGGTGTGAACGGACCAAGCTAACTACAGAAGCATGCAAACGGCTACTGAAGCACCCTGTTTTGTACATATTGGCAACATTTACTTCTGCACTTGACAGTGTGAAGAAGATACAAAGTAAACCTGAACTATTTCCCAGGTGCCAGACCTGATCTGGTTCCCAATTTCAGCACTCATGAGTTGAAACATAGTAACTAATCATACCAGTATTCCTTATGGCAGTCCGCTGTTACACTTGGGAGAGAACATGAATGCAAGTGGACGGTATTCGGACATCGTAATTACACATATATTTAAAGCTACTCTCAGAAACATAAGCCGAGAAAGATAAAATAAAACTTTGGTGTGGGACATAACATAGTTATTGAATTTCAGTGTCCTGGAGTACAGCCAACAGATTTTAATTCATAAGATTCCAAAACACCTCAAGATTTAGGGCTTGCTTTGGGTGGTTTTGGATTTGATCCGTTTCCCAATGAGAAGCAGTTGGCTGTTTCATTGCATTGAACATAATAATACATCCAGATAAAAAGAACGGTTAAAAACTTGCTAACTAAGCAACCTGTAAAACTGTAAATACAGATAAGTTAGTGTTGTATAAATACCTATGGTTAAATGCACAGGATTACAACCAAAACAATAATGCAAGCTAAAACATTCACAAATACCTATAGTTTACAATTTACTGGGCCTATAAAACAAGAAAATTCTTAGCTTCACTGATCTCTGGACATTGCAACTGATTAAACAGAATCAAACATTTGTTAAAATACTTTAATTAATTTAATTAATAATAATAATAAAAATGAAGGTTTATGTTTTAATTTCAGACACTCAAACATCAGCATAATATTTGGTAAAGCATTTCACCGAGAGGCATAACTGAAATTTTGTTATCTATCTCAACAACAGCTAGGCAGGAGAAGGAAACTGATCTTCATAGAAGTCCTGCTCATTTAACCTATGAACTCTAACTTCAATACTGCCCTTGTAAATAAGAAGGGACAGACGTGAGACAGACGAAGGGAAGAGATATCAAACATGACAGACATCAGGAACTTAAAATATCTCTGCTGATATCTGATCTGTATCAAACTGTGCTCCCCACACTTTAATAGGATTTCTGCTTTTTCCAAGACTATCCCATTACTGATAGGATCATAGCTTATGAAACCCTTTGATCACTTCCTACCAACAGCTGCCTTGCCAGTCATTTCCCACTTGTATTTGTGCCACTACTTAGTTGTACTTAAGCATACCTTCCAGATAGAAGCTGGAAGTCTTTGAGGGTTCGAGTGTCTGCCAGACACCTTCTATATTGACATCTCTTGTAAAACAGATCACAAAAGGCAGAAGAAACTACTGATGTATCCCCCATCCAGTCCAAATGACTTTACTACAATGCAGAAACCACACCTGCTGCATGGTATATGAAAGCAGTACATATTTATTACACTAATACACATGACAGAAAATGTAGATTTAAACTTGTGTCAGATATCTGCCTCCATCAGAAGGCTGATGCATCTGTCCCAGACAGAAACACCAGGTATTCAAATAACAAGTTAAGTAAGATATGCTTGAGACATTAGCTAATAAGTAGGTGTGCCCAAGTCAAAAGGGAGTTTTGAAATGCAATCAAAACATTTAATAAGATTCCTTAGGCCCAACCAAAAGAACAAGTAGCTCAATGAACTTCAGTGTAACAACTGTTTGGTCTCTCATAGTGGTTGGAAAGTTCAACAGTTTTTCACTTTCTCAAGTGAAAACCTTCCTCAAGACAAAAAGCAACATATCAAATGACTTCAGTAATTCCTTCAGGAATTAAAGTATAACTTCATGAACTGTGAACCACTTAAAAAACCTAACTAGATATCTAACCTGTTCTTCTTAGAAAACTGTATTAACATGCAATAACTTGCCTAAGTGCCACTTTCTAAATGAAGGCCAGGACAAGACAAGTTTTACATCGCCAGCTTTCCCAGAACTATTCATTAAATAGCATTCCTTGGTGGCTGCCAAGCATGGTAAGCAACACTTTATTCAGTTGTTCTTAAGGAAATCTTTTCTCAAGGGATAAAAGGGCTTTTCTCATAATATTTTTTTTCTGAGCCATTCCAGTGTTGGCCTTACACATTCAATTAGCCTTTTTAACTTATACAGTCCTTCAACCTCCTTCCTGAATTTCCTTCTATATTTCAGGTCACTGAAGTCTTGCAACTCTTTCAGCTGTGAGCCTGCTTCTGGACATCTCACCTTATGTTTCTTAGATAGTTGGGATTTTTACTCTTCAATATGAGTTTTTTGATGAGCAAAAGAAAACATTTTAAAGCATTTCTATTTATTATTGTGTACATGTGCATTGGTAGAAGCAGTGTCATCATACAACTTTTTGATACAAATTGAACTTCAGTGATTTTCATATGACATCCTGACTTCTCTCATTATGCAAATTTAAAATGAATGATAAGCACGTTCCAAAAGGTCATGAATAAAGCTCCCAAATTCCCAAAATACGGAGGGAACTGTTTGTACATGTTCAGAGCCTACCAACACAATGTTACCAGTCTTAATGTTAACAAGCTAGCTATAAAATACACAGTGACGTAATTCCTTCAACACAACATCTGAAGGGGAAGGTATTTATGATTGGGTATTTCATCCAACAGTCCTGACAATATACAGACCTTTTAAGATTTAATAAAAAAACACATGCAGTGCCATGGCATCCAGACGGTACACGGTTCATACAGCAAGTGGGAAGTAAGGCACTTTCACAGCAAGTAGAAAAATCTGCAAACGTACTAACCTAATACAAAATTTAAAGAAAAAAAAAAAAGTGCTATTTTTTCTATTAAAATAATAATAATAATAATAAAATCTAGTTCCACAACTTCAGTTATAAGAAACACAGTGAAAGTAACAGTAAACTTCATAAGGAACTATATATACGTATATATATATATATATATATATATATATATGTATGTATAAGGAACAGGGACAGTAAAAAAAAAAGTAAAATTCTGCTACCCCTACTAATAGCTACTGCCTTTTAGTTGGAAGAATGTACTTTCTTGGTCCTCCAAGCTCTCTGGAGTGAAAAAGATAATGCAGAACAAAACACCACTAAGCACAATGGAAGTTGCACGTGCATCAGACTTCATCCCTGGTAGAACACAAAAAAATAACATTCTTCACACGACCATTCAAAGATGTTACACAGCAGTTCTCTAGGCATCTCAGATCAAGAGGTAATCACATAGCTATTCCTACACGCAGCTAGTATACAAACTGTGTATAATATGCACCTAATCTGCTAAGAGCTGCCCCACAGACGCATGAGCTGTCAGGACAAACCACCACTCATATATGGGGCTGGAAAAACAAGTTTTGTTTGTGACACATAAGCATAGCCCAGAATTTGTACAGAATATCCTGTATTTTACAATGAATACTTTTCCTGCCTTCCATGAATAGAAACTGTGATAACTGAATAACTTTGTTTCACATACAGTGTGACTCACTTCTGCCAAAACATGCAATAATTCAGTTCTTTCAAAGAAAGCGCAATCAACGAGCATACAACATTCATCCTTAATGCCACAGACTGACTTTCTCTGTGTGCTGGTGCAGTTTTAAGGTTCCATACAGAGTCTGAAGTTCATGGAGATCCTATCAAGACTTGAATAGCTGATGGCATATCACTGCAGAGAGGAAACCAAATAAAAAAAAAAACACCATTCCAGATAACAGAAGAGCGAAACAAAAACGTCCAAGACTTTTTGCGTCTTCAGGAGAAAGCCTGAAGGAGCTTCAGGAGAAGCCTCCAGAATCTGACCTACGTATGTGAAGGCCTAATAATGGAATTAATAGGCAAGGAACAGACTGGGGTGCTTCATACCAGCAAACGTTTTAAAAAAACTTTACCTCCACTTGCTTTTGCTGGTGTTGCAGACACCCGGAATGCATATTCACAGCTGACTCAGGAGTGCCTGCACACGCACCTGTTATGCGTGGGTGTCTTCTTCTTTCACGCTTATTTTTCACAACACATAGAGGCTGCCACCGCTGCCTTGTCACAGCAAACTGCAGGCGGAGCACCGCCCGGGACACGCCGCTGTTCCGACGCCTCGGCGCAAGCAATGGAGCGCGGCCGCTGCCCCGGACTCCCGCACCACGGCAGCTATCGCGAAGTGCTGCCTGCGCCTGCACCTCCACCATCGCACTGCCGATATGAAAACGCGACCGAGACCGACCCCGGTTACTTTTAGTTTCTTACTCCCGGACGGGAGCAGATCGATGGAACCGGCGTGCGGCGGGTTTCCGCCGGGAAGGCTTCCCCGCAGGCATGGCAGAGACGAGGACGTGGCGCGGGCGCGTACAGCCGGGGCCGCTCCCCACCGGGCGCCTCTCCCTGCCGCCCGTGCGGCGCCCCCCCGCCGAACCGCGTCCCTGCCGAACCGCCCCTGCTCCTCGGCGATCGTTCCGCACGCTAAAGCCCGAGCAGGTCGTGGGGACGGCGGAGCGCGGCGCGGCGCAGCGCGACTCCGCACGGCCCGAGCAGGGCACGCCGCCCGACTCTCTCCCGAGCGCGGCGGCTCGTACCTCCCCAGATGCCCAACTTCAGCTGGGAGCTGTCTAGGTTCACCACGTAGTCTCCGAGGAAGCGGTTCAGGACGTCCACCACCAGCGATTCAAACACCATCCTGAGACCCCGCCGCTCCTCCGGCCTCCGCCCCGGCGCGGCCCAGTCACGGCCCCGCCCTGCCCCCCGCCGCCCTTACTGCGGCTCCCCGCCCCGCCCCGCCCTGCCGCCCGAGAGGCGTGTCCCTCTCGCCACGCCCACCTGCTGTCCGCTTTCCTGGAGCCGCGCGCAGGCGCGCTGAGGGTCTCTCGTGGGCGCGCAGGCGCGGTGTAAGGCGGGTGGGCGCGGGCGGGGTGAGGGCGGGGGCGGCGGGCCTTTTTCAGGGCTCGGGGTGGGATTGTGAGGGGCGTTCGGCTCTCGGAGTGTCGATGAGATTTCAGGCGGAAGTGGGAAGTTATCATGTCGGCCATCCGGCGTGGGGTCTGCTTTAAGGGATGGAATACCTTGTCCTCGGAGCTTAAACGTTGTAGTAGTCGCGGTTTTTAACGCTTGAGTATGTATGTATTTCTTTAAAGAACTGCATTTTTCTTCAGGCTAGGTAAGGGTTGAAGCTACTGCTTCTCTTCACCCTTTGCAGTGGCTGGGCTATTATTAGCAGCGTGACTAAACCTGGTTGAATTTCAGATGCATCTCCAGAAGCTGGCCGTCTGCAGCCTGCTGGGCTGGGATCTGTGGAATGGAGCTTGGGAACTGGGTCACAGGCACCCTCGGCAAAGGTTTCGGTGTGCCTAGCTGCCTCTGTGCATTTATTGAATGGGAGGACATAATTATGTTCCGGCTCTATCCTGGAATTGCCATCATTAGGCTTAAAATTAGATCTACGAGTAAGATAAACCCTGGAGTTTTTATGTGTGTTGTATTGGGTTAATTGGGTTTTGGCAGCATGGGGACTCTGCAAAAGGACCAGGGGCTCCTGAGTGAGGCAAAGCTAGCTCCGGGCAGCAGGCTGTCCTCCTGCTGGCCAAGGTAGAGCCCATTGGCAGCACTGGCGATGCCTCTTATACATTTAGAAAAGGGAAAGGCAAGTATGCAAATGTGAGAGGGCAGCTCTCCAGCCTTCAAGGTCACTGCAGAAGAAGGAGCTGTAGGCCTGAAGCAGAGCTTACTGCAACCCAGGAGAGGCCTGTGGAGGAGAAACTCTCCCCTGTAGCCTGCAGTCACTGCACAGAGCACGTCTCCACATGCAGTTGTGAAGGAGTCCGCAGGGCAGCAGTGGCTGAAGCGAAAAGGAAACACAGTCCATGCAGAGCCCTGCAGGAGAACCTGCAGTGGAGCTGCAGGATCCCTGTTGGAGCAGTCCATCATGATATGGACAGGACTCATGCTGGACCATTTTATAAAACAGCCACGAGCTTGAGTGGAGGAAGAGTGTGAGGAAGGGGTGGCAGAGGTGACATGATCTGACTACGGCTTTCAGTTCCCATCTGCCTTCCAATGCTTAGGTAGGGCAATGGAGGAGGCAGAAGAGCGCAGGGCGGACAACTGAGGCTGGAAAGAAGGCAGGACTGGGGAAAGGTCTTAGCTTAGCTCCTCAATGTCCTACTTTATTTTTTAGTTGGCAATAAATTTAATTAAGATTCTCCAAGTTGAATCTGTTTTGCATATGAGGCTAATTGAGGGGTGATATCCCTGTCCTTAACTCAACCCAAAAGCTCTTCCATCTCATCTTATCCATCTGACTAGTTGAGATGATCTGGTTGAGATGAAAGAGTAGCAGGGTGAGCATCTCACAAGCAGCCAAGGTCAGCTCACTGCAAATACCATGGGGAAAGAAGAAAATTCAGGAACATCTCTCTGTCTCCTGTCATTAATGACACTTGTCAGTTATTCATTATAGTGAAATGCAATGATGTAAGCAACAATGAAACATGCTTATAAGTATTTTTGAAAGATAAAATGTGCTGAAATGATGTCAGCTGCAGCATGTTTGTTCGGTGTGGGCTGTTTTCTTGCTGAAATCTTTAGGCTGGTTTCTACTTATCACATCACTTGCAGGGCGGAAAGAGAGCATTGTTCTTTCTCTTCTCTTACCAAAAGTGAATTAAATATAACTATACACATTCAAAAGCTTATTTTGATATATATACGACATATATAAAAATATATTTCAGAAGTTCTGTCATGTTAGAATCAGAGAATCATGGAATTGCTCAGTTGAAGATGAATGTTTTGCTTCATTTTAACTAGGTGATCTGAAAAGTCCCTTCCAAGCCCCAGCCCTTCTGTGATCTCCTCTTCACAGTACAAAGAATTAGCATTAAGTTAAAGGTTCATTTCTCTCTATGCCTATAAAGCCTTTGTGATAAGAAAGAGGTGATAAATATTTAAAATTTGAGAAGAAAAACCCACAAAATGAATATGGTAGACTTTTTAATTTGATGAAAACTGTAGGTAGATTTGTAGAAAGAAAGACTTACAGAAGATTGATCCATAAGCAATAAAGCAAGGAGTCATGCCAAAACAGTGGGCAGAGGCCATAAATATCGTAAGTTCAGAGAGTGAATAGGAACTTGATGGGAATTCAGATTATGTGCAGCTTTTAAATAAGGCCTAAAAATTTAATTAGAACTTAGGATGAATTAGTATCTCGATTTAGTTGCTGACTGTTATTCCTTAAAGATCAATTATCAAACAACTGTTTTAGAGTATACTTGCACTATGTTTGGGCACTTCCACTTTATATTACGTAAAGAAGATATTATATATTATATATTGTCTGTGTTCAGATAGCGACTTTGAAAGAAAATATGTTCCCTACTGATAGTTGTAAGATATTATTCTGTAAGATATTATTCTGTTAACGTCTGTGTCTCAAAGCTTGCTGGGGACACAGATGGACTTGTTCAAGTCCCGAGCAAGGATTGTGAAATCCTTTGTCTGAAGGACACAGATGAACAAGGCCAGGCAAGTCCTGGGCAAAGGTTGTGAGATCCCTTGTGTGGGGGGATGCAGATGGACAAGGCCAGGGGCAATGAGAGTGAGATGAGCTGCAGCTAAATAGCTGTGAAGTGCTCCTTTCTGCACCTATCTCAGGATGATGGCCATCTCAGGGGGTACTCAGTGACTTTTGCTCGAGGCCCATCCTTGTCAGGTAGGCAGGAGAACAAGGAGGACAAAAGAGGAACTGAAAACCTTGAGGAAAGTTTCTGGCAGCAGATTCCCCATGAAGAAGAACTGAGGTTTCTGGCAACAGATTCCTCATGAAGAAGAAGAGGGATTCCTGATGATCAGATTCCTCGTGAGGTGACTCCTGCATGTTGTCGAACTCTCCTGTGCCTGCTGCCTGAGCGCTGCTGCTGCTTCAAGGATTGGCTCCTCGACTTCCTCGTCTACCTGCTTGCTATCTCCTCCTGTGTCTGCCTGGGACCTTCAAACGCCATGCAACAGGGTGCTGCTGGATCCTGCTGGTGACTATCCTCGCTAACTGCAACTCTTGCTTCTTTCCCATCTTTTCTATGACCCTCCTTCCCTTCCCCGTCTCCCTGATTAGGTTTGGTAATAAACTGGATGGAACAACATATGAGCCATTGTTTGTTAATCTCACGCCAGGTACACAGATATTAAAGAACCTCATCTCTCTCTTATAAATTGGAGCGAGACAATAGTCTCGCTGAAATGCTTTATCTAAAATACTAAAAGACTGACAGAAATGATACACTTTAATTCCTTTATATATTAATACATGAATACGTATCATGTTTCTTGACCCTTGCTTTTACTGTAGCATGTATTTAGGTACTTAGCCTCAGCCTGCTGCCTTTGTAATATGTCAACCCTCCAACATGCAGAATTATTATTATTATTAAATGAAGCAACAGCTTCATTTAAGGAAGCACGTTTTTATCATGGGTATTGTTGCTGTTCTTTGTCAACACAAGGAATGGGAGAGAGGCTGAAAGAAGTAAACAGGCAACTTTAAAGAAAAAAAAAAAAGTTATGCTATCATACTGGCGCTTTGATTCCTTCAAAATGCATTATGTATTGTTTGAAGAAATTGCAATCTCTGCATTTCCTATTCTTAGGTTTAGCACTTTCTTCTCTTGAGAAGCAACAATAGCAAAAATAAACATTTCAATATGAAACTATAATGTGGTGAGCAAGGTGGGTGCATCAAATGTAACTGTCTGTGCACTAATACGTGTATGTAAGAGCACACTACAACAGTCTTTCTGTAGATATCTTACACAAAGACATAAATATCGTAAGAGGTCTTTTGAGAAAAATATGAACATAGGAACTCCTTACTTTGTGACTACTCTACATGTGTGTTTTCATGTTCAGCTGTGAGAGAGCTGACTGTTAAAATCATCTACACTTTCCTCCTATCAGTTTACTCTTCCAAAGCTGGGCTTTGGTGGCACGTATCTTCACATATCCTATTCTTTTGGCAGTCAGTTTTCCAAATTATCTTCCCTTCATCAGTCTGAAGCTACATAGATTATAGGTAAAGCACCTTCTTCTTATTCAAATGTTCTGCTGAGGGCATTCTTAAGTTAGAAAAACAGAGGTGTCCTAGGTTGAATGGCATTCATACTCATGGAATCATGTAACAGTTTAGATTGGAGAGGACCTTACTGATCTCCTAGTTCTAACCCCCTGCAATGGGCAGCGTTGCCAACCACCAGCCATGGATGCTTGGGATCCTATCCAACCCGGCCTTGAATGCCTCCAGGGATGGGACATCCAGAACCTGTGCCTCACCAAATTCTGTGTTTAAAAAAAATAATAATAAATAAATAAATAAATAAATCCTAATGGCTAACTTAAATCTCCTCTCTTTTGGTTTAAAATTTTAAATTGTTATCCCTCCACTGCAATCCACTGTCCATGAGAGAAGTACATCTCTACAAGGCACTCCAATATGAATTCCAACGTGACTCACAGAGTGAGAGCATAGTTGAGTTGGAAGGGACCTCAAGGTAAAATTTTCATTTTTTACTGCAGCATTTTCTTTTTTGTATTCTGTGCACTCTACTGCACAAGACATTTGTGAATCTTGACAGCAGGCAGCTAGCATTGAAGCTTTGCTGAAAAAACTGCTTGCTGTTGATGAAGGGGTAAGTCTAATGTGGAAAACCATGCATAAGAATATCATTTAACCTAGTTATTTTAACTAAATCCAGAATCAGAAACAATTGCACATTTGCCAAGGCAAGGAGGTTCAATCTATTTTCCTCTCATCCTTCTTCACGAGCTACAGTTCACAGTACCAACAGGTGCATGATTTCAACCCCAGCTGGGCAGTAGCTGAAGATTTGGGAAAGAAGTACATCAAACAGAGTAGTACCCAGTAAGTACCTGTCCGATCAAATTAACAAAAATTTCTCCATGGGATTTCCATGAAATCTGAGAGCGCTGTCTGTATATACGACACAGTCACAAACAAGTGGACAGCAATTGTTCCACTTGATCTAGTGTTATCTATGTTCCTGGAGACCCCATAGGAATCCATTAACAATCTTTTTTCTTTTTTTTTCTTTTCTTTTTTTTCCCCCAAATTTATAATTAAAGTTGCTGATACCATGGTAACTCTTCTCTCCCACAGCAAAACTGGATGAGTTTTAGCAGCCAGGTTTCTGATTCAAGTTGTGCTTGGAAGCTGCAGCTTTCTTTGAGCAGACTGGGGATCACAGGACTATAGCTTTCTTTTGAGTGCTGCATTAATGCCACTCAAGTTCTACAGAAATGACTCAACATCCCACAGGCCTGCCAGGATGACAAGTCACTTGCAGGATACAGTGCTGGCTTCGCTACAGAACAACTACTGACAGCCTTCTTAATCCCATCCTGAAGTTCACACAAGTAAATCTACCAACATAAGAGATGTGAAAGATATTTCTGATTATTTTTGTCATCATCAAAAACATCTATCTTCCAGAACCAAATGAAGTCATGTAACTAGGCATTCTGACATCATTCCATTTATTTTCATCTTCATGAATACAAAATGTTTAATATTGTCTCTTCCACATTGCAGCCAGCACTTTGAAAATGGCTTAGGTTCAAAGAAGCAAGAAGAGTGGTGAGTAAAACAGGAAGGGCTGTGAACCTCACTTTATCTACCAAACTAGAATTCCATTAATTGTACAGGGATGTCAAAATTAATGAATTATTTTAGAACGCACTCATAACTGCAGTGAAACCACTCACTGCAGGGAAGTCTTTTTTCTAAGTCTCTCAGAGCTCTATGATTTTAATCTCTTCAGAATCAGCTGAATCATGGTGCAACAACAGACTGTTGCACAACCATTTCCCTCAGGACAAAGTGGAATGTACATATATCCTAACCTATTTCAATTATGCAAGCAGCAATGTAGTAAATACTGAAAAGTGTAGTAATCTTATAACTCCACATTACTGAGGAAAGTGTGCAAATTGCTGAGGTTTTTGAAACTCAGAGTTAAAACCACTCCTGGATTTCCCTTCTGATCACTGCATGCTATAAAATCTTTGAGGGCTGATTGGCAGTAATACATTTTAGCTTAATTTTGAACCTAGTTCTTGCAGTTCTGTGAACAAACTAGAGAATAAATACATTCTTCCTGCCATCATCAAATAAATATGTTCTGGTGCTTTGGAAAAACAGAAACCTTCAAAGTCCTGTAGGCTACTGAACACATTATTTTAATGGGAGTGTCTCTGATCTTCAGGTTTAATTCAGCAGATCCCTAATGCGGACTGCATCTCTCTCCCTGTTAGATGAGAACTGCCCTCTCTAGCTGATGCTTGCTGTATTTGACAACATAATCTGGAGGTGCACTGCATACAGTGTAAAATACAGTCTTAAATCTGACTAAGGTAAATAGTACTCGAAGTAATAATTCATGGATGTAATTATTTCTATTTCAGATGTCATTTTCAAATAGTAAAGTGTGAAGTCCTTTTTATGTTCCTTACTCATTCTTAATCTTGCAAACCAATAGCATTACCCTAAAATAATTAATTTGCAAACCTTGTCCTATGATTTTGCTGTGAGGAAAAATCAGTAGTGGATAGATCACTTAAAACTGTAACAATCAGTTAATTCCAAGAGAGGCACAAGTTTTTGCCAAAGATTGTGTCAGTTTTCATTGTAATTCCTTTATTAGGATCTTTAAGTATCAAAACCTTTAGATCTTTAGATGTCATTAAAAACAAAAGCTCATTAAAAATAAGAATTTTTCCTATTTTTAGTAACTGCAATTCACTGCTTTTGGAATTTCCCTGGGACTTCAGGGAAAATTAGGCATAAAATTAATGCCTTCTGCTTTAAATGCAGTAGCTAGCAGGAAAATGCTTCTTGTCAAACTGCACAGCATTCTCCTTTTCGAGTACATTCTTACACTGGATGAAATCTGAAGCTGAAAACAGCAAAATTTTATCAGACGCTCACAGCTGCTGATGGTAGATCAGCATTTTTCTGGAGATGATACACATTTGTTTTTCCAAGTTATCTAGGACGTCACTGAGGAGTTATTGTGACTACTAAATTCAATCAGTGATGAATTTGAAGCTCAGTTCATTGCAAACAGAACAGTGTGACATGTTCTTTTCATAATGGGCAGTACTTTCTTGTGAGAATGTATCATAGTTCTTACCTGTTTCATGTGAACTTAGTGGAAATGTCTGCACATCATTGTTTATAAAAGATTTCTTATGCATTTACTTTGAAATTTCTTCTTTTTGTGTTGTTAAGGCCGAATCTGCATGGAATAATGATTCCTTTGCAAATGTCTCAGGAATTCAGAAATGCCATGCTGAGGGTTTTGCTGTGTACTTAATCCATGTGATTAAATACATCTTTTTACCTTTAAGCTGATGTTTTCCTGGTTTTATTTTGGTAGTGTAATAATTTAATTGCAATTTTAAATTATTGTTGCTATATTTTACTTTTCTTCTTATTAATAATAACTACGCTTTTTGTTTCATAACCAGCAGGCAAGACTTTTTAACATTCTTCAAAGATATCTTAATTCATGTAGGACATTCCCATAGATGTTAGAGATACTGGCCAGACAGCACAAACACCATATAGTCAGCAGGAAATGCACTAAGTGAAATTGAAGTCTAAAAAGCAATAGGCAAGAGATATTTTTCTAATATATTTGGCTTACTGACAGATCTTCTAATTGATTAAAAGAACTGATGAAGTACTATATTTAAAATCACCAGTACTGTTTTGATATAAATAAATGCAGTTTACAGCAGATTTCAAATGTTTGCATTTCATTTAAAAATCACTAAATCACTCATAGCACTGAAAAGCAACATGACTTGGAAGAAAAAATAGAATTGAAAATACTTTATTTGCATTTACAAAATAGTACAAATTTGTCTTACCAGCTGGAAATTGTAATGTAGCATTGTTGGCAGGAAGAATTTATAATGTCACATTGAACATATTTTGTTTTGCTTTCTTGTCTTGCTCTAGACTCATGAAAGTTCTTGTCAGGCAATACAAGGCATCACAAAAAAAGCACAGTTTTCAGTTAAAGCCAGTGGACTGATTCAATAAATTACTATTGATGGGAATGTTTAA